AAAAGCAATAATGTCCAGGGACAAGCAGGGCCCCTGGAGGCTGTGGGGTTGGGACCAGGGCTCCTCAGGCATGGAGCCAGGTCCCAGCCTTCCCGTCCTGCTCCCGACAAGCTGCTCCCCGGAGCCTGTGGCTAAGGCAACAGGAACACTGGGGGCTGGTCTGCCTGTCGCCCCACCGCCGCGTGCCTTACCAGGGCTTCCCACCGGCCTTACCTCGCACTGGCCTCGGGCCGGCCCTGGCAGAGGGTGGGGCAGGCATCTCCACCTCTGCCCGGGGGCAGGCAGTGCCATGCTGTTACACATCTCACACCAAGACAGTATTGCCCTGGGCACTCGGGGAGGGGTGGAGGTGAGTGGGTCTGGTACGGATTGGGGTAGGGGCCCCTGAGGAGGGAGGCTCCTGCACCCCCGCCCTACCCAGAGCCCAATGTTCTGCAGCCTTAAGGCCATGGTGAGTGAATCCCAGGCGTGCTGTGCCCCGTGTGTGCCCAGGCTGGGTGATGGCAGCATCCCGGACCTGCGGGTGTGCGTGTGTGTGCGTGTGTGTGCCTGGGCAGGCAGCTGGGCTCAGGCCTTCATCCCCCAGGAGTGGGGGGTGCCGACCCAGCAGGGATTGCCCCCACCCTCCCGCATCTCTGGGTATTTGGAACTCAGCCTCTGTGCTGTGGACCCCCACCTTGCTCCTGTAACAGGCAGTTCACAGAAGGGTGAGGGTGTGGGGGGGTCGGGGGGGGTCTTCCCTCTTGCGTGTTTGTGTGTTAATCGGACAATTCCACCCCGGCCCACTGGCCTCCCCCTCCCTTTTATTTGTACGGTACAAGCAATAAAGACATTCATTTCTGACAGCCCAGCCTGCACTGTGCCAGCTACCAAGCCTTCCCCTGGGGACCGAGTGCCGCCCCTGCTCCGAGGGCTGGTGGGAGGTGGGGGAGCAGGTGACAGTGGGCTCTGCCAGTGGGGTGGGCATTTGCCACGGCTCAGGCTGGGGAGGGAGATGGGGGTCCACAGTTGCGGAGTGACCTCGGCCGTTTCGACTTCCAGGCCTGAGGTGAGCAGAGACCATTCTGGGTCTCCAGGGACTGCTCAGGCTGAAAGGGGTGGGGGGCAGGGACAGGGAGGGTGGGGCCGGAAGGAGGAGGATGGGTATGTGGTGTCCTGGCCCTGGAGCCACGGGAGGGAGGGCCGGCTGCTTTGACAGCCCCCCGAGTCCCAGCAGCTGCCCCTCCACTTCCCACTGCAGAATTGCTGGTGTCTCACAGCCAGCCAGGAGCCCTTGAACATGTGGTTGACGGCCTAGTGGATGTGTGGGCTGAGCCCTGATGCCCCACAATACCCACCGCAAAGGGCTGTAATTCTGGATTTTGCCCGAAGGTGCTAAGGCTTTCTACACGTGAGCCCTGCTTCTTCAGTGGGTGAGAACGGCTGCCCTGAGAGCAGCCAGACGGCCGGGCACTGCTGCTGTCACTCACCACACATGGCTGTTGTTTTGGCATCACAACAGGATGTGCGTCAATCCTGAGATGCCAGGGCCTGCGCTGGACACCCTGTGTACAGTGCAGTGCTTCCGGCTGCCTCCTCACGGGATGGGGGCTCATTTGTTCCCTGCAGTTTTTTGGTTTTTTTATTTAAAGATTTATTTATTAGAAAGTCAGATATACAGAGAGGAGGAAAGACAGAGAGACAGGAAGATCTTCCGTCCAATGATTCACTCCCCAAGTGAGCGCAACGGTTGATGCTATGCTGATCCGAAGCCAGGAGCCAGGAACCTCTTCTGGGTCTCCCACGCGGGTGCAGGGTCCCAAGGCTTTGGGCCATCCTCGACTGCTTTCCCAGGCCACAAGCAGGGAGCTGGATGGGAAGTGGAGCTGCCGGGATTAGAACAAGCGCCCATATGGGATCCTGGCACCTTCAAGGTGAGGACTTTAGCCGCTAGGCCACGCCGCCGGGCCCAGTCTGGGACATTTTGGAAGCAAGGAACCACTTGGGGGAACCAGAACACAAAACCTCCCCGATGGGTCCCGCGAGGGAGCCAGGAGCAGCGGAAAGAGGCCATGGTGACCACAGCTGAAGCCCGGTAAGCAGCAGAATGGGGGTCCTGGTTGAGAGGTGTTAAGAGGGAGAATAGGAGGGCCCGGCGCAGTGGCTCTGTGGTTAAAGTCCTCACCTTGAATGCGCCGGGATCCCATATGGGTGCCGGTTCTAATCCCGGCAGCTCCACTTCCCATCCAGCTCCCTGCTTGTGGCCTGGGAAGGCAGTCGAGGACGGCCCAAAGCCTTGGGACCCTGCACGCGTGTTGGAGACTTGGAAGAGGTTCCTGGTTCCCGGCTTCAGATCGGCACAGCACCGGCTGTTGCACTCACTTGGGGAGTGAGTCATCAGACGTAGGATCTTCCTCCTGTCTCTCCTCCTTTCTGTATATCTGACTTTCCAATTAAAAATAACTCTTAAAAAAAAAAAATAGGTAAGGAATCTGGCCTGCCTTCAGGGAGGGGCACCTGGCGGGGCAGGGGTGGGGGGCTGCTGATCTCCCCGAAGAATTCATCAATAAAGAAGCCTGACGGGACCCTGTGTCCATGTTTCCCCTTCAAGCGCCAGGATTGTGTTCTGGCAGCTCCACTTCCCGTCCAGCTCCCTGCTTGTGGCCTGGGAAGCAAGTGGAGGATGGTTCAAAGCTTTGGGACCCTGCACCCACCTGGGAGACCCGGAAGAAGCTCCTGGCAACAGGTGGCCCAGCTCTGGCTGCTGCAGCCATTTCAGGAGTGAGCCAGCAGATAGAAGATCTGTCTCTCCTTTTTGTAAATATGCCTTTCCAAGAAAAGTGTAAGAAATAAGAAAAAAAAAAAAAAAAAGGAACTTGACAAACTGTTCACTCAGGGGCCCAGAGTGGAGTGTCAGGTGTGTGGCCCTTATCTGCCCCCCCCCCCAGCAACATGCCACAGTGTGGCCATGGCTGAAAGAATGGTGGATTTAGCGCAGCCGCTTGCCTGTCCTTTGTCGCAGCCTGTAGCATTTTGGGGACAGCTGGGGGAGGCTTGCGGACACGGGGTACTGAGGGGTGGGTCTTGGCCCAGGAGAGGTGGAGGGTTTTCAGGCACGGCCATTCTTCCTGAGCTGCGACAGGACCAAGCTGGGGGTGTGAGGATTCCTCCCTTCCCTCTGCCCTGCCCGCCACCATCTTGGTAGCTTTCTGAGTCTCAGGCACAGGCGTTTGGTGCAAAGAATCACCAGGTGTGCCCTCCACCACCATCCTGCTTTCCCCCAGCCCCCGCCAGCGTCTTCACTCCTTAGCAAAGGTTATACTACCCTAATGGGTAGTTATACTACCCTAATGGGTAGTTATACTACCCTAATGGGTAGTCCCTGGGGTTATACTACCCTAATGGGTAGTCCCTGGCGAGCCTGCACCTGGCTCGGGTCTTGTTGCGCGAGCAGTAACTGGTTCCCTTCACCTCCTGAGACCTGGGCTATTTCCTCCTGTGGCCGGGACCTCTGGCGCACCCTGTTCCCCTGGGTGGACTCAGCCACCACACCAAAGCAGGTTTCCCCGCTTCCTGGTGCCATCTGCTGCCCTCACAGGTAGGAGCTGCCACCTCCCGATATGCTTTGCAGTGCAGGAAACCAGCAAGGTTGGGGGGAGGCAGGTGGGACCTCAGGCTAAGCTCTGACCCCGCCCTCATGCTTCATCTCTAGGGCGCAGGGGCGGGCGGGCGGGGAGGCAGCCACATTCCCTGCCTCCCACCTGCTCAGCCCCAGCTGCAGGGACTCAAGGATGCATCAGACCGAGCGGTCCCTTTCTCAGGCGAGCAAGGACCGGAATGGCTGTGCTCTTGCTCTCTAGTCAGAGACACTGAGCACTGGCCATGAACTTGACCACCATCTTGAATGCAGAAGTCATAGCCCACACAGTTCTGGGGTGGCAGAGGGGCGTTGCAAGTGTGCCAAGTTCCCAAGAATGCAGCTTCCTAGTCTTGGGCATCCAAGAACCCTTAGAGATGCCAGGGTCCCTTAAGTGAGGTCAGGGAGAGGGAGAGTGGGAGGAAATGAGAGGAGAGGTGGCAACAGGCCATGGAGAGTGGCATGTGGGCCATGTGGGTAGTCGGGATCTTGTCAATGCAGGATGCTGACACTCCAGCATCTGACTGCTGTGTTCCCCTGGGCATGGCGACAGGCCAGCCTCTTCCACTGTCCCTCACCCCTCAAGCTCAGCTTTCTGGCTGCACTGACCACTTGCACACAGCGGATCCTGGCCTGCCTTGGGGTCTTTGCATACGCTGCTGTTGCAACCACCCCCCGGCCCCCAAACACTCCCACGAAAGTTCTTCCCTTCTCCCTCCACTCGCCTGGCTCCTCAGAGAGGCCCCAGCCCTAGCCCAGCTGCTGGCAATCACTTCCATTCATTCAACAGCCACTGAGCCAGCCTCGGCCATTTGGTTTGGCCCAGTTCTCAGCAGGATAAAAACCGTGAAAAAACCATGACCCACACCTGGCTCTGGTGGTGCACAGAGGCAATGGGAAGACCCTGAGTGGCTAGTTGGAGAGTAGGGAATGACAGGAGACCACTGGCAGGCAGCCCTGGCTGTGGGGGCAGCCGTTTCTGGATGAGCAGTTGGAGGCAAAAAGGCAGCTGCGGGAGGGGAGAGTGTTCTTCAGGAGTGGCTGATGCAAAGGCCTGGGGGTAGGGAACAAACTGATAGTTTGTACCTTACCAGTCCAAAGTTTGTACTGTGCGTTGGGCTCCACCTTGGACCCTGAAAGGCCATCTGAGGGAATGGCCAGGCCCAGCCCGGCCGGCCGCGTTTTGAAGTGACTTGCCGGGCTGAGCAAAGCGAGTCTTGGTCGGACCGTTCTGAGTCTGGGGGCTCCAGCTGCTGCCGCTGCAGGGCGCGGCCACCTGCTGACGCGAGCTCAGTGCGCACGCGCGCAGGTGCTTTTAACGCGCCCACGCTGCGGGTTTCTCTCGAGCTGGGAGCGGCTGCCGGCCCGTGGCTTCGTCCGTGACATGAAGCGTGTCCCGAGGATGCTGGTGAGCAGCCGGGGCGGAGGGGCCCTCCCGGTGCCCAGACCTTTCCCTCCAGACGCTGACTTCCAGCTCCTGTCCTTTGCAGAGTCCCCCTGCCTCCCTGGATCAGGAGCTTCGTAGCAGCCCTGTCTCCACGGGCTCGCGTGTCTCCTTGGGATGCCCCGAGCAGCCGCCAGGGCTGGAGGAGGCACTGAGCGCGCTTGGGCTGGAGGGAGAGCGCGAGTATGCGGGGGACATCTTTACTGAGGTCATGGTGAGCCGTGACTTCCTCTCCCCTGTCCCCTCCCGCAGCCCTCAAGCTGTGCCCCACGACCTATCAGAGCCTTTTGTACTCGGTACTCGGTTTATTCGCTCAACAAACTCCCAAGTAGTGACTGTCAACAAACGCCTCCACAGAGGAGCAGCTACAGGTGATGGTGGAGATTGTATGAGACAGGCCCTGCTCCAGGACCTACCCAAAGGGCAGGTTTATCCAACACACATCTGTGAGTGCTCTATCTGCCAACGTCCCATCCTTGCCCTGTGGCCAGAAACCCTGCTGCCAGGGTGTGGACAGCCAAGCTGGGCAGACAGAACACCTGGGGCCGCCCTAGATCTTCTGGGAGGAGAGAGGGGGTAACGCTGGGTGGAACACAGAATGAGGAGGCAGTAATGGGAGATGGGAGGGTGGGGGACCAAAAAAAAGCCAGCAGCTGAGATGCCATGAGAGAGGGTGGGGAGCTGGGACAGGACCATACCTGGTAGAGGCAAGAGTGGGTCAAGGTCTGGGAGTTGGGGGGAGCTCAGTCATTCTAACTGCAGCTGGGGGGGATGAAGTGTGGGATGTGGAGGGGAGAACCAGAGGAAGCAGCATTTTCTCCCCTTGGAGTCTGCAGCTGAGGAGCTCAGCTTGTGGGTGCTGGAGGGGAAGTGGCCTGAGGGCTGGTGACAGAGTGCAGTCTGGGGTCTTGGAGACATCTGGAAAGCCCAGGGGGTGCTTCGCACTGGCCAGGTGGGCAGGAAGGAGTCTTAAGTGCAGGATTTCAGATGGGTCCCTGCTGGAGGCTGCTCTGCCTGTAGGACCGCCTCATGGGAAGCGGCTGAGCCCAGGACCAGAGCTCAGCGGAGACCCAGGCACAAGTGTGGCGAGTGAGGCTTTCCCTGCCTGACCCCAGGTGTGCCCCGCGCTGCCCAGGAGCTCTTTGCCCCGCCCCGTGACGTCGGAGATGCGCGCGCTCGTGGTAGATTGGCTGGTCCAGGTGCACGTAGGTACCGGGCCAGGGCAAGAGGGAGGAGATGCTTGTTGCCGCCTGAAACTCCATTGGTTCCCCGTGCCCCTCTCTCTAGGAGTACCTGGATCTGGCGGGAGACACCCTTTATCTGGCCGTGCACTTGTTGGATTCCTACCTGCTCGCGGGCCGAGTGCGCCTGCACCGCTTGCAGCTGCTGGCCATGGCCTGCCTATTCGTGGCTTGCAAAGTGGAGGAGTGCGTGCTTCCCGAGGTACTTCCCACAAGAGGTTCGGTCGCTGCGGGCACCCCATTCCTCCCCGCACCCCCCCCCCGGGCTGGGACTACGAGCACAGGAGATGAAACAGAAAGGTGAGGGGCGGCAGCTGGAGTCGCTGCGTGGCTGCTGTTCTTGTCCACCTGTGCCCTGCCTGCACATACCTGCCCTAGGGGGAGCAGGGAACCTGAGACCGAGCCCAGGAGAAACGTCCCAGGTGCATCATGCATGCTAGGCCTGAGACCCCAGACACGAACCAGGACCCCATCCGGGAAAAGGAGGCCCGGCTGGCGAACAGCAGTGATCGTCAGGGGAGCCCTCGGGCCCCTGCAACTTTCTCTCTTCGACCCGCAGCCGGCTTCCCTCTGTCTCCTGAGCGCCTGGTCGTTCTCGCGGGCAGAGCTGCTGCGGGCCGAGCGCCACATCCTCGGCCGCCTGGCTTTCCGGCTGCACCACCCTGGTCCGCTGCTGTGCCTCGAGCTGCTGGCCGCGCTGGCCGGGAGCAGCGCGCAGGTGCGCCGCCCTGGGAGGTGGGGCGGGGAGCAGGGCCCCGCGCGGCGGAGACCGGGCCTGACTGCGCTCCGTCCACCCGGGGCAGGTGCTGCGACTGGCCGCCTATTTCTTGGAGCTGTCTTTGCTGGAGGCTGAAGCCGCGGGCTGGGAACCTGGGCGTCGCGCAGCCGCGGCCCTGAGCCTGGCGCACCACGTGGTGGACGGGGCGGGCTCCCAGCCCGAGCCCATGCTCTACAGGTACTGCCTGGACGGTGTCGGGGTGTAGTGTCACCTCCGGGCCCCACTGCTCCCCGTGGCCTACCCTACTGCTCAGGGCTTCCCGATCCTCCCGGGGCACCCAGGTCGCTGTGCTTTCTCGGTCCCCGAGGGTGGGTTGCCGCCAGCCCCTGCCTCAGTTTCCCCGTCTGCCCGCTGTAGACCCGCGGAGCTGGCCGCCCTGGAGCCCTGCATGGCCCGCGCAGCGCTTCGCGGTCCCGAGCCCGGCCGCGCCGCCGTCTTCCTCAAGTACGCGCGGCCCCAGCGCCAGGGCACCAGCCTGGCCGCCGCCTGCTTGCTCCGCCGCCCCGAGCCCGAGCCGCCCTGAGCCACGGGAGCGGTGGAACCCAACCCACAGAACTTCTCAATAAAGTTGTTGTTTTTTTTTTAAAAACTTTGAGAGTTCTCTGTTCTCATTGGCCGAACGCCAGCCCCCGTCTTGTTGCTGATTGGTCTTTGTGGGGCCTCGCTTGTCTTTGACTGAATATTCTCAAGTCCGTCCGCAGCGTTTACATTCCGGGCGCGTCCGCGAGAGGGCGCCGGCGGACTTCCCTGGGTTTCCCTTGGGGAGGCGAGGGGCTGCGGTGCTGCGGGGAACCGAACCTGCACCCCAGCCTCGGACGTGAGGAACGTGTCCCGTGCCAACAGGTTTTTTGGATGGTATTTACAGGAAGCTGCACCCTGCCCCCCGCGATGCCATTAGCACGTCTGCTGTCACGGGTGGCCCGCATACCACGCATGGGGGGTTGCCTGACTGTGCTGGGAAGGGTGGTCGGGGGCGTCTGAGCTCCCCCGAGTGCCACAGGTGGCAATGGGCGCAGCTGCAGCGTGGACCCGGCGTGGGTCGGAGGAGAGTTAATCTACGAGGAAAGCTTGGACGCGAGGCTGCCTCTAGCAAGCAGGTGTCTGTCAGCATTGTATAGAATGGGACTGAGTTAGCCACCTTTGCCCCTGCCTCTGGCCTTTACTAGGTTAGGAAACTGGCTATGAATCAGCAGGTTTCCATGGTTTCAATAAGAATGAAACACACCAGGGGGCCAGCTTGGTGGCTCGACTGGCTAATCTTTCACCTGCAAGCACCAGCATCCCATATGGGTGCTGGTTCAGGTCCTTGCTGCTCCACTTCCCATCCAGTTCCATGCTTGTAGCCTGGGAGGGTGGCGGGCAGAACAGGGTCCAAGTCCTTGGGCCCTGTATGGGAGACCTCGAAGGAGCTCTTGGCTTCTGGCTTTGGATCAGCTCAGTTTCAGCTGTGTGGCCATTTAAGGAGTGAATCAGTGGATGCAAGATCTTCCTGTCTCTCCTTCTCTATGTAAATCTGCCTTTCAAATAAAAAATAAATTAAAAAATAAAAAGCTCATGTAGAAAGTGAGGGATTTAACTGCCAATGGAGCCTGGGTTTGGAGGTTGGAAAGGCAGGGTCTCTTTCAGGTCTCAAGGTTGGATTCCCCGGGTGGGGGTGGGGATTCTAGGCAGGAGTGAGGGGAGTGGCGGATGCAAGTGGGGGGAGGCTTCTGGCTGAGGCCCAAGCAAGGGACCTGGGGCGCAGGGGAAAGGCGCTCGCCCTTGCAGCTCTTCATGGCATCCATGTCTCTCAGCGGGTGCGGGAGATGAGGGCCATGGGTGGGTGAGTCCACGGGGAGGCTCGCAGGGCATGGCTGAGCCGGGGTATGGTCCTGCTCGCCCTGGGTCTTCATCTCAGAGGCGGTCACTCTGGGCTCTCGCTGGCTGTCCCACCCAGGCGGGGACCTGGCCCTTCCCCCACACCCCCCACGGATGCCAGGGGTCGGTGCTGCCTCTGGTGGACCCTTCTGCCTGTGCTTGCCAGGCTAAGCCACCCTAGATCGTGGAGCCAGAAGCTCCCATGGTGTGTACCGGCTCCCGCACCATCCTGCTCAGAGCTGAGCCCGGGGAAGACCCCAGGGAACGATGGTGCCGAGCATGCACGGATGCACCTGGAGTGGCGGCTAGTTATCCACGGTGCAGTGTGCCCTGCTATCCACCGGGATGTAGAGTTGCAGGCGATGGCATCCCGAGACCTGGCAAAGAAAACAGGCGGAGATTCGGATCTGGCCAGCTCGCATCCGCATCTTGTGCTCTTCTCCAATGTGCCAAATGGCCAGTGGGCTGGAAACAGGCTAGAAGCCTCCGGGAGCTTGGGGCCCGGGGAGGAGGAGAGCGGTCGGCCGGAGGCAGTAGGGAGCCGCGGCTGGAGGACCGAGACCCGGGGCGGGGGCTGAGGTCTCCAGGGGTTTCTCCAGACCCATAGGGGGCAGCCGGAGTCGGCTGTCGGAGGTGCGGGGGCGGAAAAAGGGTGGGGACCGGCCCCGCGGGGGGCGATGCGGTAGCTGCAGCGGCGGCCGCAGGAGTTTCCCACAATGCAGCGCGGAGCGCCGTCCCCGGTCCTGATGCTGAGCGCCGCCGCGGAGCCTCCGCCGCGCCCGCCTCCCGCCCTTTCCCCGCCTGGCGCGGGCCCGGGCTCCCGCCATGGCTCAGCTCGGCCAGCCCCTGCCCCAGAGCCGTCGGGGGGCCTGGCGGCGGCTCTGGACAGTAGCCTGCGGGCCGCCGTGGCGTTCAAGGCGGAGGGCCAGCGTTGCTACCGGGAGAAGAAGTTCCGGGAAGCTATCGGCAAATATCACCGGGCGCTGCTGCAGCTGAAGGCGGCGCAGGGGGCTCGTCCTGGCGGCCTGGCCACCCCTGCCCCCGGGCCTTCCAGCAGCCCGGGGCCCGCCCGGCTCAGCGAGGAGCAGCAGCGGCTGGTGGAGAACACCGAGGTGGAATGCTACGACTCCCTCACGGGTACGGGGCCGTCGGGGAGCACATAGGGGCGTGTGTGTGAGGCGGGGAGGTCTAAGGGCCAGTCGCGGGGCCTCAAGGCTGCAGAGGCGAGGGCTGAGGGGATTTCAGAACTTGGATAAGTAAAGGGGTTGCGGGTAGATGGAGGGGTCTCTGCTTGGAGCTGGCTGGGGGTGTTGCTTGGAAATGGACTGCGTCTCTGGGCCCCGCCTGCCCTGAGTCCTTCCTTTCTCCCCCTTCCACATGTGAGCCTCAGGTGAGAAAGGCCCACCTGGAGGAGAGTGCCTGTGTGGGTGCCCTGTCTGTGGGGTTGCACTGCACCCTCCTGCCCGAGCCGCCCGGGGTTAATTGCGGGCAGGTGCTTGTCAGCTCCCCGGCTCCCCCTAGTGGCGGCGCAGATGGGTTTCAGTCCGATGTCCGGCCGCATGGTGCCCCCTGGTGGCGGAGCGATCCCCTGAGAAAAGGGTCCACCACGAGCAAGGCGCTTGCAGCTGGAGGCCAGGCCAGGCAGGGTGGCTGAGCAGGCCATTCTCTCCCTGCAGCTTGCCTGCTGCAGTCGGAGCTGGTGAACTATGAGCGCGTGCGTGAGTACTGTCTCAAGGTGCTGGAGAAGCAGCAGGGCAATTTCAAGGCCACATACCGCGCTGGCATCGCCTTCTACCACCTGGGTGACTACGCACGCGCGCTGCGTTACCTGCAGGAAGCCCGCAGCCGGGAACCCACAGGTGAGCTTTGGGGCGGGGCCCAGGGCAGGAAAGGCAGCTCGCTGTTCTCCACAGAGCCTGCAGGGGCTGCTGTAACGCCCTCATCGCGTCCCACTTCCTCCACCTGCTTCTTACTCACTGAGTCACCCAGCGTTCACAACCCACCCCGTCACCAACTGTCTCCCAGCTGCTCAGTCGCTGACCTGATAGGTCCCGTCCATTCACCTCACCATTTCCGGATCCACCTGCTCATCTCGGTCCCCTTCCCCCTCACACTCCTCTGTGCACTGACCCACTCATAGATGTACCCACTCACTTCCTCAGCCCACCATGCCCCCACCCAGGATGGGGCAATCAGTGTTTGTGCTGCAGGAGGGGCTGGTGGGGAGGGAGACCAGTCAGGGGTGTGCACAAGGGAGCCCAGCAGGTGTACAATGCAGGATTGAGAGAGCAGAGAGGGGCTGTGAGCTTTCCTGCCGAGCTATGTGGGGAGGACGGGCTGCTGGCAGGTGTCACTGCACGGTGGAAGGTGGCAGGAGTGCAGCAGACACCAGCCTGGAGCTGTGAGATGCCAATGCCCGCCCCGCTCTGTCGACCAGCCCTGGAACTCTGGCAACATGGCTGTGTGTATGTGTGCAGGGTGGGGGGACAGGGGAACAGGATGACAAAGATGTGGTAGTCGCCTGCTGCCCCAGGACACCCTGGCAGCACCCTGCCTGCCTCCCTTCTTCCTCCCAGACACCAACGTCCTCCGCTACATCCAGCTGACGCAGCTGAAGATGAACCGCTGCAGCATCCAGCGGGACAGCGGGGCAGGCGCCCGGCCCCGGGGTGTGCTTGGCTGACGCCCACGGGTAGGGGCTGCACCCTGGCCCCCTCCCATCAGACTCCTCCCTGTGTTTGCTAGTAAAGCACCTGTGACCGTAACCTCTCTGTGTGGAGTTCTTGTGGCGACGAGGGCCTGGGCCTCATCCCTTGGAGCTCAGAAACCCAGAGTGGCCTGGGGAGGGGGTGTGGGGCCAGCCCAACGTCCAGGGCTTGGGCCAGGCAGGACACACAGCCAGGTGAGGTAGGGGCAGGGGTTACTTTAATGCTGCCATTTGTGCCAATCCCCCATGATGCCCTGTCCCTGAGTATCCCTGCCCACCCTCCCCCACTGCAAGGTGGGGCCCAGGGCTCCACCCCTGGGATATAAAGGAATAAATTAAATGTCCCTTCCCCTCCTTCCCCAATAAATAGAGTGAGTGTCCTGCCCAGGGCCTCCCCCGCCCCGTGGGAGGGGCAGGCCGGGGCAGGGCCTGGGGCGCTACATTCATGGCTGCCCAGGCGGGCAGGACTGGCAGGCCTCAGCAGTTGCTGTGGGTCCCACACAGGGGCACGGTGCTGTCCTGGCTCTGGCCCTCCATGTCCATGTCCAGCAGCGTGGGTTGCACGCCGGGTGGCCTGGGGCTCTCAGGAGTGGCTGGCCTGCTGGGGGGTGAGATGCTGAGCGTCTGGCTGAAGGAGACCAGTTTCCAGGGGTCCAGGCGGGGACGGCTGGCAGCCGGTCGGGGTCTTGGGGCGAAGGTCAGGGTGGTGGGGCGGCCAAGGAACTCGGGGGGCCGGCGGCGGGCTGGGAATAGGATCTGGGGGTCAGGCAGGCGGGGGAAGTCCAAGGTATCTCGAGGGCCTGTGGAGAGAGGATGGGAGGCGGGGTGGCGAGGGTGGGCTGGGACCAGGGTGGTGTTTCAAGGCAGGGAGATTTGACCTAAAACGTGGGATTTCCACTCCCCTGGATAAACCTGTAAGTCCTGACACTGTTTCCTGGCCTGGGTCCTGCCCAGCAGTTGCCAGCCAAACCCCGGGGGGCCCTCAAGCACCTGAGGTCGGCCTGGGACCATGGGAGGGAGGAGACCAAGGCCTGGGGTTGTCCCCGAAGCGGAGGGCTGCCTCGCAGCAGGTGGCACGGAAGGTGGTAGTTGTGCAGGTTTGGGAGGCTCGCCAGTCCCTGTGGGTGCTACATTAGGCCTGCCCCTCCCAGCCTATTTGTCACTTGGGGATCCATGACGGTGCAGAAGGGGTGAGATGGGGGGCCTGAGGAAAGCTGGGATGGGGCGTGTGTGGACGTGGGTCCCGCACTTACCAGAGCCATGGCCTGCGGGCTCCAGAGGCCCACGCTGCCCCAGCGCCCCGTCCGACGGTGTCCGCCGGTGCCCACGGCTGACCGCACGCGCGGCTGTGACGTGTGTGGGTGTGAGTGACTGGCGGGGGTCCTTTTTGAAGCTCTCGAGCTCCAGGTCCACCAAGGGGTTGGTGGTGGGTGCGGGCGTGGGTGGGGAGGGTGGCGGGGACAGTGCGGCTGGCGCGGCGGTGTCGTCGCTGTCGGAGCGCAACAGTGAGCGCGTGGAGTTGCAATCAGACACGGAGGACAAGGACACGAGGGTGGCCGAGGGCGCCAGGCCCGGGCAGGGCGCCGTGTCATCGCGGCGGCTCGGGAGGCGCCCGGGTGGGCTGAGGCCCCTTGGGAAGCGGCTGGCGCGGGGGAAGAAGAGGCCATCCAGCCAGCCCCGCTGCTCCTCGCCATCCACCGCACGCGCCTCGGCCACGTCGGCGCCCAGGCCCACAGCGCCCAACAGTGTGGCGCAGCCCAGCAGCGCCAGGTCGCAGCGTCGCCGGGCACTGTGCCCGGCCCTGGTGGGGGCAGCAGCCGGCACGGGGTCCCATGGCGTGCGTGCCCCCGGGGAGGGCTCGGCGGGCAGTGGCACCGAGAGGTAGGATGGGGTGCTGTAGGGGGAGGGAGGTACGCTGCTGCCTCTGTCCGCCTCTGCGAATTCCTCTGCAAGTGGAGAGCCGTGGACCCGTCACCGGCGTGGGGGCAGCCCCTGGCGCCCAAGCCCAGTCTGCTGGACTCCGCGACAAGGGACTGTCCCCCCCATCACACCTGAATCTTTCTCTTCCGCAAACGGAGGGTGGGCTCCCAAGGGGAAGCAGCTCCTCCCCTTTCTGGGCGTGGCTGGTGACCCCCAGCCCTCCCCACCACACACCTTCGGCCTCTTACCCATTTCGTTGAGGCTGGCGAAGGCAGGGGCGATGGGTGTGTGTCTGGGGGACTTGCCCAGATTGGGGGCGCTGGATGACCACTGCTTGCTTCCTTCCCCCAGGGCCTTCAGCCTGCAGGAACCCGCAGAGTTGGGGGTAAGGGGTCGGCCACCTTGCGCCTGGAGACGGGGTGGCGCCTCCCCACACCCCAAAGGTACCTCTCCTCTCCTCCCACGCGCTCCTTCTGCAGCGTGGAGCTGGGCCCCCACGTGCGGCCCTTCTTCTTGCCCCCAACCAGCTCTTCCTTCTTGGGGGGCCCACTGCGGCTCCACGTCCCGCTGCTGCCACTGCTACCAGGGCTACTGCCTCCGCAGTCCACAGGGGTCACTGGGCCGAGAGAAGGTCCTGGCATGAGGCTCTCCCCACCTGGCCTCTGGCCTCACTTCCACCCGCCACCCCTCAAGTCGCAGATTCCCCAGAAACCCCAGGCAGCTCCCCCTGTTGTCAGCCCGGCGGAAGCCTTCCTCAGCCCCATCCTGGGGGGTTCTTCACAGCTGACCCCTCAATTGGGGAGTCCACCTGCCCTTCAGCGCCCGGCGGCTGGCTCCCTGCCACACTCGGCAAGCCCTGGCAGGCGCATCTGCCTCTGCTGTCTTTGGGTCCCCTGCCAGAATGGCCTCCTGGGCCTACTCAAAGCAGGTGCCTGGGGTGCACCCAGCCGTCTGCGGGCAAACCCCAGGGTTTGTGGCCCTGGGACGGAGTGGGCTGCAGCCACGTTTCCTTGCCCCCTCCAGCACCACGGCCGCCTTTTCTTCCAGCAGCCAGTGTGACAAGGACAGCTGGCTGAGACACGGATGATTGGTGGGACCTGGGTGGTACTCACGGCGAATGGCTCTCAGGCGGGGGATGATGCTGGGGCTGGCAGGGGGGCTGGTCCCGTCGGATCCTTTCCGTTTGTCCAGGGTGGGAGATGCCTGCACTGTGATCTTATGCTCGAAGCCTGCGAGGAGGAGGAGGGCTGTGTGAGCCACGGAGGCTGAGGGCAAGCACAAAGACGACGGCTTGGTGGATGCCAGACCCTGGCTGCAGAGGGGGCGGCAGCGGCCACCGGTCAGTGCCTGAGCTGGCAGCAGTGCAGAGCTGGGTCTGTCAGGACCCCAGCTGCCGGAGGATATGCCCCCTGGAGCTCCTCGGTGCCTAGCAGGAGCTTCGGGCCTCGGGCGCTGACTGACTACATGATGTGTGTGACCCAGGCACTGGGGTTTAACCTTTCTTTGCTGAATGACAATGAACTCATCCACCCTGGGTGGGGATGGAAGGATTCAAGTGTGTCTGAGACAACCTGAGTGAATCTACATTTGTCAGCTACAAAAATTATGAAATCTAAGTACCAATCAGTTTTCTCTCTCTATATATATAAATTTTCTATTTATTTTCATTTCAGCTGAAAGGCAGAGGGTGGGAGCGCTCAACCTTCCATCACTGGGTCGCTCCCGGGTGGCTGTGCTGGTCTCCTGCGTGGGTGGTGCCAGCTGCCTGCTGTGGACACATCCGCAGGGAGCTGGGATTTGAATGGAGCCCTATGACGTGGGCTGCAGGCATCCCGTGCAGTGTCTAGCCATTTCTGAGGGAACGTGGTGTGACTATAAAATACACATTGGGGTTCAAAGATTGCATGTGAAAAAAAGATAGAGAAGGCAAAATATGTCAGAAACAAATTTTGGGGGTGTTGACTGCACAGGTAAGTGGGGCTACATACATGTAAGCTGCCGCCACCTGCTTCTCTTAATGGGAAAGGTCTCCTGGGGTCAGCGCTGCTGGGAGCAGCGGCTCAGGGCCTGGCTGTCGGGGAGAGGGACGCACTGCATGTCCCTCTGTGGGGGCCTGGGGGACACATGGCCTGGGAAGCTGTCTTTGTGAAACTAGAAATAGACATGGAACCGGAACTGACTGACTGACTAAGCCTGGAATCCAGTTCTGTGGTTGGTGCCTGCGAACCTTCTGCTTCGGAGGGTCAAGGTGTAGCCACGTCCCCCAGCTCATGCCACCAGTGCTGTACAGGCAGTCCTGCTCTTAGCCTGGATTAAGGCGGAGGGGGCACACAGGAAACGCCCGCAACTAATGCCGCTCAGCCAGGTGCCTGCCACCTCCAGCCAGCACCCACCCAGCCCCAGCCTGCCGCTGCTCTCTGCCTCTCAGCTAAGATTCAGGTGTAGAAGTGACCGCACCAGGCAAATAGCGAAGGTCACTCTCAGGGGCGTGAGACCTTGTCTGGAGGGGGCTCGTGGTGGAGGGGTGGGGGCGCGTGATGTAGAACAGTGCAGTTAACAGCCAAGTTGTAACAAGGGAGGGGCAGCGCGGCCCAGGGGGTGGGAGCGGTACCGGAGGGCAGGCTGATGTGGCTGGCGCCTTCCCGCAGCTTGAGCAGGCGGCTGCGCTTGAAGTTGCCCTTGCGTCTGCGGACTCTGGGCTTTTCCTGGCTCAGTTGGTTCATGAGCAGGTGCAGCTCCCGCTCCACGATGTCCATCTCGCGCTCGGCCAGCTCCTGCTCCCGCCGCCGCAGCTGCTCCTCCTGGAAGCGCTGCTCCTGGGCAGCCCGCAGCAGCTCCTCCTCGCGGCTGCGGAGCTCCTGGGGAGCAGACGCTGGAGCTGGGGGTGCGGGGCAGGGGGAGGAGCCCCGGGAGGCTAGGTCCACCTCAAATTCAATAGACACTCTGGGAGCCAGGACAGGGGACTGTATGAGCTACCCACGCCGCAAAAAAGGGAGTGCCCTTTTTTTTCTTATTAAAAAATATTTTTTAACTCTTCAATATGGGAAACATCCACGCAGACAGACAGCAGCAGGCTCCAGGGCACCCACGCACACGACGCACTCCCCCTTTCCTCTTCCTCCTGCTCTTCGCTGTGGTGTCTGAAAACCAACCCCAGGCCTCATTCCGTATCACCAGGAGTACTCCAGGGAACAGGCCTTTCTCTGCTCAGCCACCGACCGGAGCAGCTTTCCTTAACATGCAAACAGGCTCCCTTGAGCCTGCGTGGACCCCACGGCCACTCAGATGAAGGGGGCCCGATATCCCAGCACCTGCCTTCACCTTTCCTGCCCCCACCTTCTCCTTGCCCCTCCCTCTCTTCCCCTCCCCACCCCCCCTACTTTCTCCCTGCCTCTCCCCCCAGCCCTCACCTTCTCCTTGGTCCGCAGGTCGTCGAACATGTGCTGGATCTCCAGCTTCCAGTCCTCCTGCAGCGAGTGGAAGGACTCTAGCGGCATTTGGAGCAGGGCTGACTGCTCGATGGCCTCCAGCCGCCTCAGGATGCTGCCAAAATCCGGCCGCCCATGGGGTTCAGGGTCCCAGCACTCTGGGGGTCGCAGAGGGAGAGGAGAGCCGTGGGCAATGAGGGCGACAGGTATCCCAGCAGGGGCCTGAGCCAGCTCACAGTAAAGTGGGGACATCTGGGGACTGTGGGCGACCAGCTTCCCTGGAGCTGAGGGTGAGGCAGCCACAGTCCACTGAGGGAAACTCGTGAGCTGGCGGGGTCCTGTGGGTTATGATCCACACAGAAACCCCAGGTCCCTCAAGCCTGGCAGGCTGCCTGCCTTCAGAGCACTGGGCTTGGCTGAACAGGGGTGTGGGGGTCCAGGCCCTTCTCCCTCATTCCTGGGCCTGAGGGCCCTGTCACCCCAAACTGAGCCTACCCACTCCATGGGGCCCTGGCTCACCCTCCAGTAGGCGGGCAAAGGGCTCAGGGCACGTGGAGGGGATGGGCAGCGTCAGCTTGTTCATGGCCACGCCGTACGCCACGGCCAAGGCGTCGATTTCACGGTAGGGGACCTCACCCGTCAGCAGCTCCCAGAGCAGCACCCCGAAGCTGCAGGTAGGGGAGAGGGGGGTGATGCCACAGCTTTCTGCTCACCATCCTCACCCATGCCCCCGCCCTGCTCCTGGCCCCGTGCCCAGCCCTGGCTGGCTTGACCTCCCCTTTCAAAGCAGCTGGGTTGGGGTTGATGTTCCTTCACTGCTTCTTCCCCCAGCCCTGCCTGAATTCTATCTCCTGTGCCTGCAAGACACACCCACCTTCTCCTCCTCCCACCCCACATGCTCTCCCACACCTCGCAGAGGCCTTCTGGTTTGTCCCCACAGACCCCTGCCAGCAAAGTAATGTGCTTCAACATTCCTCAAGCATGCACTCCAGGCCAGGCCCTGTGTAAAGCGCTCTTGGTAATCCTCCCAACACCCTCGAGGCCAAAGGTATCACAGGACCCCCATGTTATCCGCAGGATCAGAGAGGTGGAGCTGTCTGCCCAGGTCCCACAGCTGGGAGGTGGCAGGGCCACTCTGGGGTGCAGATCGATACGACGCTGGCGTTGGGGCCCCAGAAGTCCATTCCGTGCTAGTGAATGACGTGTGCCTCATCCCCAGTGGCCCTTGGAACCTTCTGGAGCCTGACTGTCTTGCCCTGCACAGTGCCCAGCCTGCAGCCGCTCCTGCACTCTCCCAGCTCCCATGCATGCTTATGAAGGGCCCAGCGTGTGCCCAGCACCGGAACCACAGACACGGCGTCTGCCCTCCTGCAGCTGTGGCCTCGCTTCTCCTGTGGCTGCCCGGGCGGACGGGAGCCGGACAGAGGGGAGCTGCTGCACGCATCCTCCAGCTTCCTTCACAGCTCTTCTGCCCGCACGACCCCTCCCCTGGTCCTGGCCCAGGGGTGTGTCACAGGCAACCAGATTCCAGGAAGTGTCCTCTGTTCCTCCTCCTCCTTCCTACTGGCTAGAATGTGGACACAGAGGCTGGACTCAAGCAGCAATTTTGGAACCATGAAGCAACCTTGGGGACAGCAGTGGCTGTGCAAGGTGAAAGGAAGGAACAGGGGTTTTCACCTGGAGGTGGACCCCCCACATTCCCCGCAACGCTGTGGGGACAAATACCACAGCATGCTATGGAACAGTGCAGACTGGCACCCCACCACAATGGCTCGTCCTGCCCAGTGTCGGCAGCTCCCACAGGGACCCAACATGGGTGACTGAGCCCCTCACCTGGGGGCACCGGGGCAGGCCTGGGCATCCTGGATAAAACCTCCATCTCGTTTTTATGCTGGGTGTTTCCTCTTTGCAGCTGTAATGCACACAGACCCGGTGCGCATCTCGCCACTGGTGAGGCCTGACCTGAAGCCCGCGGATGTCTAGGTTGAGCTGGACACTTGCGCTCTGATTCGCTCCTGCTCTCCACCTCCTGGAACTCAGCCAGGGACGGCATGTGGGGAGGCCTGAGTTTGGCTCCAATCATGTAAGAGGCTGTGGCTCACACAGCTGCTGCTCCATGGCTGGTCAGCAGACCCCTCCTGATCACCTCCCTCCACCTCCTCTAACCCTTCTCCCAGCAACCCAGGGGACTTCCGAAGCCTGGAATCAGATCTTGTCATTCCTAAATTCACTTGGTGACTTGGAACAGAACACCAGCCTAGGCCCTCAGCCCGAGCCTTTCTGTTTAGCGTCTCCTCCCCACCTTCTCTGCTCTGGCCACAAGGACCTCATGCTTTTCCCCACCCGGGCCCCTCTCAGGGGGCAGCTGTTCCCCCTGCCTGTGAAGCATTTTTTCCTGGCAGCTGGCATGGCTGGGCCTCCTGCACCATCAGCCCCTCATCTGGAGCACCAGCCCTTTATCCAGCACACACACTCACTGTCGCTTCAACATTTCTCTTATAGTTTCCCTCACTTAGAACACTGCTTATTCTCTGAACTTCTTCTGCACTTGAAAATATTTACTACTTTTTGCTCAATGCCATGTCTCTTAAAGCCAACACCATTGTATGGGTGGATGGATGGATGGACGGATGGGTGGAAGGACGGATGGGTGGATGGATGGATGGATGGACAGATGGGTGGATGGATGGATGGACGGATGGACAGATGGATGATGGATACATGGATGGATAAATGGATTGATGGATGGTTATCCGTCTTCAAAAGCCTCCATCTCCTGCCAGTCAAATGGGAGTGCTGTGTTGGGTGCCTAAGGAGCCCTTTGGTGCTGACACCCATATCCTATTTACCTATTTTTTAAATTTCTTGTTCTAATCTGGATCATTCTACTAGTGAATCAGTCAACTGCTTGGCACCCCTATGGTGGCCTGGTCTTGTGGGCAGGCCCCTCTGCTGGGCCAGGCCCCTCCTGGCAGGCCTTCCCTCCCTCCATGCCCTCACTCCCTCCTCTCTGTCCCCCTTCCTGCAGGCCCCCTGGCCGCCCCTCAGCACCTCCAGACGTCGCTGCTCTTGGAGAAGAGGGAGAGACGGATGACCTCGGGTGCCATCCAAGCGTAGGTCCCTGCGGCGCTCATCTTGGTGGTCTTGTGCCACTCGCGGGCGAGGCCAAAGTCTGTGATCTTGAGCACCGTGTCTGCGAGGTTGTGGTTCTCAATGGCCTCCAGGATAAGGACTGCGGGGCGGGAAGAAACGGGGTTACCCAGACTGCCCACGTGCGGGGCCACACGCTCCGGCATCCTGGCCCTTACCCTGTCCTCTCTCTCTTTGCTGCCCTAAGCTGTTCCACCCTGTAGCAGCTCCTTTCCCGGCCTGGAACACCTGTGAGCCTCCCACAGCCATCTAATCCCAGCCCTAGGCCCCGAGGAGGGAAGATGGAACCTCCCCTGGGTCCTCTACCCTCCTGACTCCGACAATGAACAGTTGAGAACCAATGGCTAGGGCAGTGGCAGTGTGGCGGCCAAGGTGTTCCTTGAGGGCCTGCTGGTGAATGTTGGGTTTAGAGGTAGGCCACATTAGGATGGGCCAAGCACCCATTAGCGTGTGTAAGATTCATGACAGAGTTAGTCTGACAGGGGAACTTGCCTGTTAGGACACAGCTTTTGCTGGTGAATGTGAGAAATGAGTCTGGAGGGCAGCCCAGGCCAGCGCAGGCTACAGTACACATTGGCAAACGTGAAGGCTGGGTCTGAAGGCAGGTCGGACTATGCAAGTCCAGAGCACCCACTAGCAGGTGTGAGAGCCAGGACAAGGTGCAGGCCAGGCCGGGTTTGGCCACAATACCCTCCAGTTCACATGAGGATTAGGACTAGGGGCTGGCTGAGCTGGGCTAGGCTGCAGTACCCACCAGCTGGGACTGGGGGTAGACCAGGAAGAACCAGGCTGTAGCACTTGCTGGCAGATGCCGAGGTGAAGCACACCATGCCAGACTGGGCTGTAGCACCACAGGCATGTGAAAGACCCTGGGCTGGGGGACGAGCCTGATAGGCCACTGCTCCTACTTGTGAGTGTGAGAGCTGGGACTGGGGGTGGACTAGGCTGAGTGGGGCTGCAACACCTGTTGGCCTGCATGTAAGCTGGGTTTGGGGGGAGTGTCAAGCTAGGCTAGGCCACCGCATCGGCTGGCACATGGAAGAGTCAGAGTAACTGCAGGCTGGGGTTTGCTGTAGCACCTGCTGGCAAGTGCCAGGGCTGGGTGCAAGTCATGTCAGGCTGGACTTCAGTATCCCCTGGCAAGATCCAGGGCTGGTAGCGGGCCTGGCAGGGAAACTGTGGGCACTCCTTTGCTAGGCTGAAGCTCTTGCTGGTGAATAGGAGAGCCAGGGCTGGGTGCAGGCCAGCCTGGACAAGGCGGCAGCACCCATCTGCATATGTGTGGCCTGGGTTTTGGTGTGGGGGAACTGGGAGTGGGCTGGGTGGAGGTTACTGGGAATCATCCTGACTATTCTGCAGGTGAGCATAAGGGCTGGGTTCGTGGCAAGCTGGACTGGGTTAGACTGTAGCACCTGTTGGTTTGTGTAGGAGGTGGGACTGGGGGTAGAAATGACTAAGCAACTGCACTCACTGGTATGTGTGTAGGCTGATGCGGGTGACGGACTGAGCCAGAACCTGCACTAGCTGGTGCACACAAGTCAGGTCTGGCAAGGTTTCTCAACTAGACCACTAGCCAAATGGAAAATCACAAGATATGTGTCCAATCTTGGAGTGTGTGTATTGGTATTGGGCCTCCTCAGTGGCTGATGCCTCTGTCACTGCACAGGGCGCAGCATGCCCTGGTGCACACGGGGCATATGACACCCAGCTCACTAAGGTGGAATTTATCAACCAATAGATATTGGAAAGATTTTCTCAACCCTGGTGCAATAAAGTTCCAGAACTATCAAAACCGCTCAAACAAAACATTGAACATTGTTGGAACATTCTTCCTCATATCGGGGTCTCTAAGATGAATCGAGTGGCGGGTGCTGATGCAGTCTGGCAGCAAGGAGTGGCCCCTCCCTTTGCTCTTTCCACACTGTAAAAAATTGTAAACAGTTGTCCCATCCATCTTCCTTGGCCTTTCCCAACCTGATGAGTGGTCCACTTCTCAATTATGTAAACATTAAAAAAAAAAAGAAAGTGCTGCTTGAGATACTAGTTCATCTGATACATGCCCACTCAGCTGGGGGCGGGGCCCGGCAGAAGCCAGGAGCTGCAGCTGCATGGGTGACAGGCAGCCAATCACGGCAGCCATGCCCTGACAGACAGCCAATCACTGCAGCCGTGCCCTGCTGCCTCCCAGGGTGCACATCGGCAGGAAGCTGGAGTCAGAGCTGAGATGGGTCTTGGATCCAGATGCTTGGCTACAGAAGGCTCACACCTCACATGGTGCCTTTATCGTGGTGGATGGGAGTGCCCTCTCCCTCACTTTCAAATTCATTTTAAAAAGAATAAAAATTAAACACACACACACACAAGCACAAAAACCCAATGGTCAAGGTACAGTTCAGATATTGCTACGACAGAATAGCAGATGTTGACCAAATTCTGTAATGAGCAATTTTAAGACATGGGTGTGTTTATTTCTTTTGGCCTCAGTTCCTCTTCAGTAGAGCAAGGATGATAACATCCTGTGAGATTATTATTTTTAAATTAATTCATTTATTTGAAAGGGAGAGTTAGAGAGATGGAGAAACCAGGGAGATCTTCCTCCTGCTGGCCCACTCCCCAGAGAGCTGCAAGGGCCAGCCAGGAGCCTGGGGCTCCACCATGCCTCCCGTGTGGGCTCAGAGGGCCAGAGCCTTGGGCCACCTTCTGCTGACTTCTCAGCTGTACTGACTGGGAACTGGAGAGCAAGTGCAGCAGCTGGGATGATAACTGGGTGACCATGAGGGATGCCAGTGTCAGAGGTCACACCACATCCTGTGGGATTATCTTCCGGATTAAATGAAACCGTCTTTGTATCATCATGAACACAGAGTGGTTAAGGTGGTAGCAATTATTATTTCTAAATCATAAATAAATGTAAATTACACTTCCACCTCTGTTGCCTTGGATAACAAGCATTCATTCAAGAACATTAAAAGAAGCGCTGACTTTGCGCTGAGCACCGTGACAAGTGACATGCACACCAACATTTAAGCAAGACCAATGTATTTCTTATTGGCCTGGAAGATAAACCTAATATATCACTCGTAACACCGTGCGGTGTCATAAAAAGAAAAAGACCAAGGAACTGCATTCTGTCTGAGGTTTGAAAGGAGCTTCCGCATGCAAGTTCAGCCACTGTCTGCAGCACTGGCATCCCATATGGGTGCCAGTTCCAGGCCTGGCTGCTCCAGTTCCAATCCAGCTCCCCATTTACAGCCTGGGAAATCAGCAGAGGATGGCCCAAGGGCTTAGGCCCCTGCACCCACGTGGGAGATCCAGTTTCAGGTACCTGGCTTTAACCTGGCCCCACTTGTCTATTGCTCTGCCTTTCAAATAAGTTAAAACAAAAACAAATCTTGGAAAGAAGTAAAAGAGGTAGGATGCATGCAACAAAGCGTTGTGGGATAAACTGAAACCCCCCAGGCAAATGAGATGGAGGAACTGGAGCAGAGCAGGTAGGAACCTTGGTCAGGCCTCCACTCCCAGGGCAGCCTGGCAGCAGGGCCTGCGGTTTCCGTGTAAGGGGCACTGGTCTTCCCTTGGCCTCTGTCGGCATGTTGCTGACTTGTGTCCACACGCTATGGCACATGCCATGATGGCTTTCCACTGAAGGGGACAAGCACTGCTCTAGCCCATGGCCACGTGACTTGCTTTGACCAGGAACCCCAGTCTGGGTCTTTAGTGGCCTCCTGTGCCTCTGTTGTCCCCATGACAACACTCCTGAGGCAGCCCGAGGTCTCAGGAAGATGGAGGCAGTTGTTTGGAACAAGGCCTCTCCAGCTAGGCCTAGCCCCAGTTTAATGCCCGCCGGCCAGCAGACGTGTGCGCAGCAACTGACTGTTGCTTTGGGATGCTGAATCTTGGGGCAATTACTGGCACAAAATCTGAAATATCTATGGAGCATTGCAAAGAACTGTAGTTTACCTGTCACCTAGGGATATCTCAAACAAACTATAATCCTTGACTAGTGCTCGCCCTAGGCTAAGTGAGTGACTTGCAAAGGAATCTGTTGTTATTGACTAGCAAACTGAGGCTTGGAGCGAAGTCATGTGACCATGATGACACAACTAGACTACGGTGCCATGAAGACTTGGACTCGTCCTGTCAGCGGGTTCCTGCATCTCCACTGCTGTATTTTACTACCTCCTGCCTTCAAACAGCCCTAGAGTGTGCAGAGTCCTTCCTGGGTGGCAGCAACGTTCAGGAACCGGAGCCGACGAGACATGAGCACCGGGGGCACAGGGACCCCTGCAATTCTGGCTTAGGGCAAGGGACATCCATGCCCGCTCCCTATGGATCCTGATGGCCTCTGGTGTCCTGGCTACACAGCAAGCGCCCTGAAGGCAGGCGGGCATGTGTGGCACTTGTCTTGTCCACAGCAGGCCACGTGGGACCATCCCCATGTTCCCGGATGTTCACTGATGAAGCGACTGGGAGCCCGGGGTGGGGTGGGGAGTCTTTTCCTCCCAGACCAGGTGCAACGCCTGCCTTGCCTGGCCGCCAGGTGTCCACCAGGTGTACCAGGTGGGTGGCCGCCCCTAACAATGTCATCTATTTTCCCACCACCATGGCTTGGCCTGACCAGGTTCTGCGGAAAGGAAGTCTTGCGGGGGAATACGCCACTTACTGTTGATGGATTTGAGGTCCCGGTGGATGATGGGCACAGGGGCGTCATTGTGTAGGTAGTTCATGCCCCGGGCCACCTGCACAGCCCAGTTGACCAGTACGTGAGGGGGCACCCGGCGACCCGCCAGCACCCTGCTCAGGGCGCCTCCTCGGGCATACTCCATCACCAGGCAGAGGTGTGGGGGGCTGAGACAGGCGCCCCTCAGGGCAATGATGTTGGGGTGCTGCAGGGCTCCGAAGAGCCTGGCCTCCTGGCGCACCTGCTCCGCTGTCACTGCCGGGTCCCGCTCAGGGTCCAGCCTGGCAGCCTTGACCGCCACCTCCTCGCCTCGCCACAGGCCTCGATAGACTTTGCCAAAGCCCCCCACACCGATGATCTCCTCCAGCTGCAGTTCGTGGAAGGGGATCTCCTGGGGCAGCTGGAGGCCCGGGGGCGCAGCCGGGGTGGCGGGGGCCACGTAGTTGCTGGGGAAGACCCCCACGCGGCCGCTGGGGAGGCGCCCGGTCCACCAGCCCTCGTCGCCGGACACGGCCCAGTCCTGGGAAAGCACCTGGACGCGGTCGCCCCTCCGCAGGGTCAGCTCCTCGTCACCCACCGCCTCGTAGTCAAACACCGCGGTCCAGACGGGCCCCGCGGGGGTCGCGCCCCATTCCTTGGCGGCCGCCCCTTCCTCCTCCTCCTCCATGGGGGGACGGCCCGGGGGCTGCGGGCAGGCCGCTTCACACAGGCTGCCCGCGGGATGCAGAGGGCGGACCCCGGCAGCCGGGATGCGGGACAGTCTCTGCGGGCTGTACGGGGCTCCTGGGGGCCATGGCTCGAGGGGGGCCTTCCGCAGGAGCGAGCAGCAGCCTCTGTCAATAGGGCAGGGTCGTCCCCTCGGATGCTCTGGTCCAGGCGGCGCGGGGTGGGGCAGGACGGCAGGTTCACCTTCCTCCCCGAGACGTCAGGGCGCCCAGAGGGCCTGGCCGCGAGCTCCCCCGCCGTCTGCCGGGGCCCGCCGGCGGGGACGACGGGGAGGGCAGCAGGCCGCCCCCTTTCCCCGCGCCTCTCACCCCGCGCAGCTCCACCGGCGGTCCCCGGCTCCGCATCCCGGGCCACCACCGCCGGCTCGGGCGGGGGCGGTGAGCAGCGGGGCCCTGGGGGCGGCCGTCCCGGAATGGGGCAGGGCTGGCGCGCCCCTCGGCCTCCTCAGGCGCGGGGTGGCCTGGCGGACCCCATCCTCGGCACCGGGCCTCCCGGGTCGGCCCCAGCCCCTGGCCGCCCCCCGCCCTCCACCGGCCGCCGGCGGTGCCGAAGTGACGTTCGCCGCCGCGGTGCCGCCTGGGAGTTGTAGTCTCCGGCCGCGCGGCCTAGGGCCCCGAGCCAGCAATCCCCGCCCTCCACACACACACATCCCAGAGCCTGGCTGCCCGCCTCGGGGGTCACAGGGGGACCCCCAAGGGGCCGAGTGAGTCCTCCCGGGGAGAGACACCCGACTTCTGACGCGCCCTCGGACGCCTGAAGGAAGGCACCGGCGCTCCTCACAGACGCTGCGGAGGGAGCTGAGGTGATGAACCCTAACGGACCGCACTTAGCCAAGAGGAAAATGGGAGCAGATGAATGAATGACAGGGCCCCGAAACCCGCCGGGATGAGGTTCCTGCGGCTCGTTGGAGCCCGGACTCGATCTGCATACCGGGAGATGTAGTCCATCCTCAGGACCCAACATCCCCACCCCATCCACACCCGTAGACACCCCCACCCCACTCTGGACCTCCTGAGAGGAGCAGGTTTGTGGTTCCAGCTGGCCAGAGGGTCTACCCGGCCCGTGGCGAGCCTCTATGGGGAAGACATGCTGGCTGGACGCTGTCACAGGCGACACAAGTGCTGGCCACATCATGAGTCTCACCGCCCCCCCCCCCCCCATCTCCATCGAGTTTCAATTTCTGGAGGACTTATTGTGTATCTTATGCCACTGCTTTATGGACATGGGGTCATTAACTCTTCGCTCATTCTGCCCAATTTACAGTTGACTCTGAGAGCTGAAGTCACTTGTCCCAGAATCAAAAATGCAATGCCACCAAGATTTTTTTTTTTTTAAACGAAACCTTGCTTTCCTATTTAAAGAAGAAAACTGAGTTCTGCAGGGGCTTCCTGGTTACTCAAGATCTGTGGGTTTTCACTTGAGCGAGAAGGGGAGAGGAGTTGGGAGACCCCAAAAGAGGGGCTTTGGATTCTTCACGGAGCCGTCCGTGTGTCAGGAGGAAGGCGTTGCCTGCCCCTCAGGGAAATCCAGGATCCATCCAGAAGGCTGTTGGAAGGAAGCGTGGCTTGTCTTGGAGTGCAAGGGTTTCAGCTGTAACCCCGGGGTACTCAGCTTTGTGGGGGGCCTCAGAGGCGGGATTACCTCACCGTGTATGGGGCTGGACCAGCAGGGTGGCTGAAGCCCAAAGAGTGACGCTGAGGGAGAGTGTCCACGGGCCATTTTGCTCTCAGCACTGTGTGGCAACCTTTGAGATGTGGGATTTGTACCTCCTGATGGGAATTGCTGGTCTGGAAATGTTGACGATGGGGGCCCTGTACTGTAACTTGGTGCTGGGTCCTTGCCTTGCATGCGCCGGGATCTCATATGGGCTCTGGTTTGTGTCCCGGCTGCTCCCTTCCCATCCAGCTCCCTGCTTGTGGCCTGGGAAAGCAGTCGAGGACAGCCCAAAGCCTTGGGACCCTGCACCTGTGTTAGAGACCAGGAAGAGGATCCAGGCTCCTGGTTTCAGATCAGCTCAGCTTTGGCTGTTGGGGCCACTTGGGGAGTGAACCAGTAGATGGAAGATCCTTGTCTCTCCTTCTTTGTGTAACTCTGACTTTCCAATACAAAAATTTAAAAAGTCTTTAAAATGTTGATATCTTAGAGCAAGACAGAGCATTTGCATCTGCTGATTCACTCTCCAGCGGCTCACAGGTGGTGGCTGGGGCTGAGGCCAGGAGCTGGGAACGTAATCCAGGCCTCCCAGCTGGGTGGCAGGGATCTGATCACAGCCCACCACTGCCGCTTCCCCGGGTGTGGTTAGCAGGATGCGCCAGCAGGAGGTGTGGAAGCCTGGCATTACATCCTGTGAGAGTGGGGGGGGGTGCCAAATGCCAGGCTGAATACCCACCTTGGAGTGAATCGCTTTTAAAAAAAAAATCATGTTTTATTTATCTGAAAAGAAGAGTTACATTGAGAAAGTGATAGAGTTGAGAGAGAGAGAGGGAGAGAGAGAGGATTATGACTGCAATAGCTCAGGTTGGCCCAAATCGAAGCCACAAGCCTCAGGCTCCATCCAGGTTTCTCACGCTGGTGGCAGGAGCCCAGGCTCTTCTGTTTTCCCAGGTACATCAGCCAGGAACTGGATCAGAAGTGGAATAGCCAGGGCTTGAACCTTGAACCAGCCTCTTCTGGGAGACTAGCACCCATCTGTGTCACAAGAGCAGCTCGAGGTATTCCCTTTTGACCTAGGATTTGTTGTTCATTGCCATAGCTTTATGTATGTGGTTTCTCAAGACTCAGTTGTATCTGAGAACTGGATCTGGGGGCAAATTCTATAGGGGACTTATAAGTTTATCTCGGTGGGACTGCAGCACCTACTGATTTGGTTGAGAGCTGAGGGTGGAAGGGCTGAGCCAGGGTGGATCATGGAACTCACTGGACAGTTGTTGGAGGTGGGGCTGTGAGGGAGCTGGGCTGGGCCAGGCTGTGATTCCGGCTGCACATGCAAAGGCCAGAACTAAGGGCAAGCAAACATGCAAAGCAGGGTCATGGCACCTGCCAGCACATGTGAGATCTGGGTCCGGGAGTAGGCCTGGCAGGAGAACTTAAACTCCACTGCTAGGTCACAGCTCCCCCTGGGGAGCACAAGAGCCAGGACTGGGCGTGGGTCAGGCCAGATAAGGCTGTAGCACTTGTGTGGGTTAGATCTGGGGGCAGGCCAGGCAGGGCCAGGTCGCAGGACCCGCTGGCACGTGAGAGCCAGGATAGGGTGTGGGTTGCACCTGCCTGGGTTAGGTTGCGACATCTGCCAGTGAGAGCTGAGATGCGAACAGCCATGCCAGGCTGGGTTGAAGCACTCGCCAGCACATGTAAGGTCTGGGGCTGTGAAAAGGCCTGGTTTGGGGAACCCTAGGGACTCTCCTGCTGGGCTGCAACTTCCACTGGTAAGTGCGAGAACTGAGGCTGTGGGCAGAGTAGGCTGGGCAAGGCATGTGTGTGTACTGGGTCTGGGAGTGGGCCAGACTTGGCTAGGTTCCAGCACCTGCTGGTACTTGCAAGAGCCAGCATGGGTGTGAGGCAGGTCAGGCTAGGCTGTAGGACTTGCTGGGCCAGGGGATGGGCTGAGCTTGGCTAGGCTGTAGCACCCACTGGTGAGCGCCAAAATGGGTCGGGCCAGTGGGACTAGGACTTAGTACCCACCAATGAGTGTCAGGACTTGGAGTTGGCCATGTCAGGTTGGGCCATGGCACCTGCTGGTACTCATAAAATTGGGGGCTGCGAATGGGCCTGGTAGGACAACTGTGGGCACTCCTCTGCTAGACTATGGTTCCCACTGAAGAGCATGAGAGCCAGGGCTGGGGGTGGGCCAGGCTCGACAAGGCAGCAACACTCAGCCGCATACGTGTGACCTGGGTCTGGGGGTGGGTTGGGCTGAGCTAAGGCCACAGCACCCATGGGTGTATAGGAGAGCTGAATGGGATGCAGGACCGGCTGGACTAGACTGCTGCACATGTTGGCATCTTCAGGAACCAGGGCTGGGTGGCAGGGATGCCATTACTTGAGCCATCCCTATTTCCTCCCAGGGTCTTCATTATTTGAAAGGCAGGAGAGAGAGAGAGAGAGAGAGAGAGAGAGAGAGAGAGATTGGTTTATCCCCCAGATGGCTGCAATAATCTCAGGGGCTGGGTCAGGCCAAAGCAGGAATCAGGAGCCTTTTGGGTCTCCACGTAGGTGGCTGGATCAGAAGTGGAGCAGCCAGGACTTGAACTGGTGACCATATGGGATGCTGGTGTCACAAGAGGCAACTTTACCTACTGCACCAGAATACCAGCCCCATGGTCATTTTCTAACATGTTTGTTTTGTAGTTCTCAGATATCTGTAGATTCCTAGAAAATTTACATGCTTTTCCTGTGTCTATGATTTAAACTTATAAAAATGATATTAACTGCATTTCTATTTTGTTCAGCATTTTTTAAAAAGACTTATTTATTTACTTGAAAAGTAGAATGACAAAGACAGTGAGACACATGCACAGATCTTCCACCTGCTGGTTCACTCCCCAAATGCCTGCAACAGTTGGTGCTGCGCCGATCCGAAGCCAGGAGCCAGGAGCTCTTCTGGGTCTCCCATGAGGGTACAGGGTCCCAAGACTTTGGGCCGTCCTCGACTGCTTTCCCAGGCCACAAGCAGGGAGCTGGGTGGGAATCGAGGCTGCCTGGACACAAACCGGTGCCCGTATGGGATCCTGGCGGTTACAAGAGAAGGACTTTATAGCTCCCATGCTGGCCCCGCCCCCCCCAAGTTTTATTTATTGATATTTGAAAGGCAGAGTGTGACACACACACACACACACACACACACTTACAAACACATATTTTCCTAATGCTGGTTCACTCTCTAAATGCTTGTGACACCCAGGGATGAATCCATGTGATTATATTGTTGGTCTCCATGCATGTTTGGGGGTTTCATGATTCAGAAGTTGAGGGGACAGAGAGAGACCATACACTCCCACCCTCTGGCTCACTCTTTGAACAGCCTTGGAGTCTGCGGGGTGAGGCCAAAGCAGGGAACTGAAGCCAGGAGCCCGATCCACGTCTCCTGTGTGGGTAGCCTGAGCAGCTGTGCATTTGTCTGCTGGGTCCCAGTGTCTGCATGAGCCGGAAGCTGGACCTGCAAGCAGCGCTGGACTCACCACCAAGGACCTTGATATGCTGTCCTAACCTTTTGACCACCCACTGTGCTTAGTAACTTTCAACAGTTCAACTCACGTGTCCTGTAATTTTATCTGTGGAAAGTCCCTTCCAGTCTGCATTAGAATGCCTCTTCTGGGGGCCGATGTCATGGCACAGCAAGTGAAGCCACCGCAGCACCAGCATCTCATTTGGGTACCAGTTCCTCACCCAGCTGCTCCATTTGCCATCCAGCTCCCTGCTAGTGTGCCTGGGAAAGCAGTGGAAGATGATCCAAGCAGCTGGGCCTCTTCCAGCCACGTGGAAGGCCAGGCTGAAGTTCCGGGCTCCAGCTTGGTGTTACCCCAGCAGCCACCATCTGAGGAGTGAACAGAGAGAGAA